AGACTCTGTACACACACACACACACACACACACACACACACACACACACACACTATGTAATGTACACTACACAAACGCATGTAAACCGGGACAAAAATATTTTTTTTAAAATCAAATTAATGAATACTGTAGATCAGCAGTTCTGAACCTTTTTCAGTCGACGTACCCCTTGGTCTCAGAGTGAGAATTCACGTACCCCCTTTCAATGGGAAATTAATTTTTTTAGGCCCTTCGACCTGTTAGACAATGTATAAAATATCTCACGTACCCCCTGATGAGGCTTCACATACTTCCTGGGGGTACATGTACCCCCCATTCAGAACCGCTGCTGTAGATGTTTGCATTTTCTAACAAAAATTTGGTATTTTTCTGGTTCAGAGATGGCACAACCCCTTGCTGAAAGGAGTACTTCCAGGGACAATGGGAGGGACTTCTGGTGGCAAAGGTCAGGCATTACGGGCAGGACTTCGGTCAAGGGGCAGGGCTACCCATGTGGCCCTCGACAGCTTGCCAAAACTTAGTAAGTGGCCCTCCACCCAAAATAATTGCCCGCTCCTGCTCTAGAAAGAGAAAGCGAAGAAAATGAGGTAAGATTGTAGAAGCTATTTCTTGCTTATAGAGCTGCGGAGATACAGCAGACACAAAGATGACTGACTGCCCATCTTCGTTAGGTAGGAGAACTGTCAAACTGGAAAACCTTGAGTGGAACCCTGCCCTCTGAAAGGATGGTTGGGGGTGTGAAATAAGCATGTAGCCTTGTGACCCTCTTGTATGAGGTAGACTTCAATTTAAAAATCCAAAGCTAATGTAAAAAAAGGAAACCAAGTTCCTCCCCTGGCCTCAAGACCTCTCCCAAATTCCCAAAGTGTACACAATTCTCACTCTGCACCTTAAAGTGAACTCCTTCTATGTATTCCAGGTTGCTATTTAACTGAAGAAAGCTCAGCACTCTACCATGACACTTTAGAAGTGAAGTGCATGGATTTAGCGTACTATGGGTAGCTGTTCAACAGCTGTAAGTAATTCTAACGTACTGAATCTCAACCAGGATCCCATGGCACTTTGGGGTGCCTTTGAAATCCTTTTAAGGGTGTCACGGGATGCCACAACATGAGCACTGTTAGGTGTGCAAACATGATTCCCGCTTTTTTTAGTGTCGGGTTTTTTTTTTTTGACACTGGGATCTTCCGGTGTCAAATTCTGACACCACGTTGCAAATTAGCAGTGTGGCAAACAAGTGCACATGCACCTATGCGGTTTGCAGCACCTTAAACAGCTTTGAAGCGCTGCAAACTGCACTTGCACACTTGTCTGGACACACCTAAGAGATTTAAGCTAGGAGAATCTATAGTGTTAACAATATTCTAACCTGTGGTCTTTTCATAGTCTTTAAAAAAAGAAAAATTGCTCTTTTAGTTTTCTTGTAGTAAAAAAAAAAAAAAAAAAAGAATTAAAACTAAGAGCTGACATTTTCCAAGGGGTGCCTTGAGTCTACAAAGGTTGAGAACCACTGTTCTAGGGCCTTGCTGACACACAAGAGTTGAACTGAATAAAGTAAAATTAGTTTAGAAATCAATTTAACAAAATGAGTGTAACTGCTTTGTATAAAGTCAAATAAAAAGACTGTCATCTTTATTTAGCATGCATCTTTATGGACTCATATTAAATAGATACAAGATATCATAGCCAATAGACCAAAAGAGCAAGTTATGGAAATGGGGGATCTCTCCCTAAAGTAGATGTGTACCCGAGATTCTCCCATTGGGAGGCTATAGTAGACTCTCATAAGCACATTGGACAGGTCTGCACCCTCTGCTATACTATGTCATTCAAAAGTGATCTCAGCCTGGGGCACAGATCAATGCCCATACTGGGCAGACATGTTGATGGAAAACTACCACTTTTTTTTTTTTTTTTACAATTTCTGTGTTCCAGATCAAATTAGCCAAATCAGTTCCAAATCATATTGACTGAGCAGAACTCAATTGTTCCAAAAATCGTATCAACTGAGCAAGCAGAACTCAATTGTTCTAGACACCACGCATAGTGCTACCAGAAGGATAAATTAGTGCAGATTTTTTTTTTAATGTCCTATGCGGAGGCAGAACAGAACCAGAAGAGGTTCAACATAGAGAAATGCAAAGTGCTGCATCTGGGAAGGAAGAACCCCCAGCTCACCTACAGGCTGGGCATCACTAACCTGACCAGCACTACAAATTCAAAGAATCTGGGGCTAACAATAGGCCCCAGCATGAATATGAGCCGGCAGTACGGCGCTATAGCCACTAGGGCCAATAAAACTCTGGCATGCATCAATCGATGCATCTCTAGTAAAACCACAGAAGTGATTTTCCCGCTTTACTCAACATTGGTGCAGCTGCAGCTGGAGTATTGCATCCAGTTCTGGGCGTCACACTTCAATAAGGACGTGCTAAAGCTCGAGAGGGTCCAGAGAAGGGCCACCCGCATGATCAAGCCATACAAGGCAAGCCATACAAGGAGAGACTGAGGGAACTTGGACTCTTCAGTCTAAAGAAAAAAAGGCTGAGAGGGGACCTGATTGCGGCTTACCACTATATCAGAAGCGTACATCAGGGGCTCAGTGAACAACTGTTCACCAGGGTACCCTGGAGGAAAGCTAGAAATAACGGCCACAAACTCCTGGAAGATAGTTTGAGGTTGAACATTAGGAAAAACTTCTTCACAACTAGGGTGTCCAGACTATGGAACAAGCTCCCCCCAGAGGTGGTGCAATCATCTACAGTACAGGTCTTCAAGAGAAGACTGGATGGTCACCTGGCTGGGGTCACCGGACCCCAGACGTCTTTCCTGCTCATGCAGTGGGTTGGACCCAATGATCCTATGATTCTATGCTTGCCTGGCAAGGGAAACACCATGACCATTGAGGAGGTCTTCCTAGTTGCACCCAAGGAAGACTGCTATCCTGGCACGGGGATAGTACGTGCCAAGGTAATGTATAGTAAACCTCCCACTTAGCTGCTGAAGTGGGAAGATCTCGGCTTTATGCCCACTTTATGGAGAGGGGAGACTTCCCTAGCTTGCTCCTGGGGCCTTAAGGCTGAGGGCAAGTGAAACTCCAGGGCATCCAAACCTCAAGCCTCTGGGCTTGGGCCTGCAAGTAGGATGTTCACCAAAGGTTCTGGAAACATCTGAAGCCCCAGATGGGGGTGGAGGATGTTTGCCAGTAGTAGGGCCACTTATGGTTCTGGACTGAGTTATGGATTTGGAATTTGGTTTGGCTAATAAATAAATACGGAATTTATTTATTTATTTTATTTAAATTAAGTGGCTGGGGAAATAACATGACCATGATGGTGGCAGGGGGAATACCCTGACTGAGGTAATGCAACTAAAATGGCACTGTGTAGTGGTGGGCTGCACCCTTGTCTGCTTGCAGACAGGACTCCTTACAAAAGCCTCATGGGGAAGCAGGAAGTGAGGGAGGTTCCCCAATTTTTATTGTCCTGATCTCTAATGCCTCTAACAGAAAGCAGACAAAACTGCTTCTTGGATTACAAAGGAGAATAAAATAAGGAAGAACCAGGAAACAAAAAACTTAGGGAAGGAGATACTTTTCAATACATACTTGTTTGGTAAAACTGCATTTTCGTCTTTTACCAGTCTGCCATTTTCCTCCTGGGCTTTATGTTTTCCCTCCTGCCAAAAAGGAGAACATATTTACTGGTCAAATCCAAATTTTACCAGCTCCACCATAGATTTTACATTTGCACACTGTCTGGGCTATTTGGTGAGGATTCTCAAAAGTGTTTAAACAACTTTTGGGAAGTGCAAGTCTCATTTGATTTTCCTCGGAATGTGTACTCTTCAGCTACTTTTGATAATCCCATCCTTTGATATTATGGACTAAAGTAGCACTTGACCACCAGTCTAAGCACATTAACCAGCTGCTTGCCTTCTTTCTGCAGGGACCAGAACACAACTGAAAGATATCCCAACTGAGCTAGAATTGAACAGAATTCATTATCGTCTCCACCTGCTGGAGAGGAGAAACCCTACACTACTACCTGGATTGGCATGGCAGAAACTGGAAGTGCAAACATTACTGTACAGACTTATTTAAAATGTATTGATGAAATAAAAGCATAACCCCAGCCACATAATACTGCATTGTTATGACTAAGACAATAAGCTTATCTAAACCAGTGATGGAGCGAGTTTTAAGAGTCCTGGTAGCAGAACCCATGCCTATGGGGACTGTAAGAAATGTCAAGCAAAATTTGAACTGATCCTAAATGTGACCCTGCCATAGATATGAGATAGAACATATTAGTGTTGTGCTGAAGATGCAAATGCCTGATCTTCTGACCCTGTCCATTCTACAAGCAGAGATGGACAACTTCATGAAGAAAAAAAAGGACATCAAACCTCCCTCTCCTAATAAAGTGACAAAGTACTGTTGTTATTCAGTGCCTTATATTAGAGAATGCTTGTGCTTAAATTAATTGTCATTGTGAGCCAGTCAATGAAAGCTTCACTGTGATACTGACAAGACGGATCTAACAATATTCAAACCAATGGCTTTATATTGAGGAATAATTAATGTAAGTAAACTATTGATCACTTCTTGACCTCTCGTGAACTAAGATCGAGTGTAGGAAGTACCTGAGGCCCTGCACTAAAGAGTCTGGGATGGAGGATGCTTGTCTGTAGTATCTGGGGGCATCCAAACCCCAAGACCTCTGGGCCTAGGCCTGCATATAGGATGGCTACCAATGGACTTGGGAGTATCTGAAGTCCCAGGGTGATAGGCCTGGGATGGAGGATGCTCGCCGGTTGTAGTGACATACATCATGTTCAGAATGATTGAGTCTGCCTGCTTAATTGATCTGATTTTTGGAATGACTGAATTCTGCTCAATCAATATGATTTGGAACCAGTTTGGCTAATTTAACCTGGAACACGAAATATATGATAAAAGACTGAAAAAAAAAAAAAACCCAGTCGAGTTTGGGACACAGTGGCCAAAATGTTAAAAGGCTGGTCACAACTTATTCAGGAAAGACACAGAAGTGTCTAAGGTTTGTTTGGTAAAGCTAAATGGGACTAACATGTAGTTTTGAACATTCATTTTTGGGGCGTGGGGCAGACCTGACAAGAGGTAACTCCTGTGACCTTGCTCTCCAAAGTAGCGTTATAGTCATCTGCTAATAATTTCAATACTATACAACACATATTGGTCATATGCAAAGATCCTGTATGTGTGTGCGCACATGCATGCACACACAACTATTTTGCATATTAGCTGAAGAGGGCAATTGCAACAGATTTGGATGCTGACAACTTTTAAGCAGCTGCTTAAGCTGCAATATGCATACCTTAACAGGTAACTTTATTTAAAAAAATGCTTACTATTAAATAATATTGCTTTTAAACATTTTTAAAAATTTGCTCTTTTATACATCCAAAAAGCAGCAGCTATACCTAATTTCTGCTACTTCAGAATGTCAGGACTGGAATTTCCTGTTATCCTGATGAACAGTTTTTTAAGTGCATTGTACTTAATCAGATATAGCACTCAGAGTACCTTGCATATTACTGTGTGTTCTTCTTTAATAAAGCTGAAGTACAGTCACCTTCAAGATTCCGTCAATTATCAGGTAGGGAAGGATATGCTCTCTTATTAATTGCTGAAATTATTGCTTTTAAAATATATTTTTCAGGATCATACTGAAGAAAAAAACATTGATTTTGTAGTGTGAGAGAATGAAGTACAAAAAAAAAAAAAAAAAAGGGCTTTCCTATCTGACACAGCTGATGTGGGTAGAAGTTAAGTGAGGCATGATGGCAATGCATACACAGTCATATGAAGTACAAGGCAGGACAACAGATAAAATTAAACCATGTTTAAACATGAACAAACAAGAGTCACCAAAAGTGACACTACCGTTTTTACTTCAGTCTTCTGGCAGCCTTTGCCTTGGACTAAAGTGCTTTTGCTTTCTTGGATACCGTGATGGGTATGTGACCATCTGTGCCTTTTCCGTTTCAATTCCAGTTCAAGATGGTTGCTACAGTATAACAAGATAGAGTTAGGATCTGGTTTTAAAGTGATCAAATGCACAGCAATTAGAATGACTTAGTTTGCCTTCTTTTTATGTTAAAACCATTAATCCCCACTAAAAGAACTGCATTTCTGAATGATAAATTATTCCAGGTTTATCAGGCCTGAATCTGCATGCTAGATCTATAGTCCAGTCTACCTTAATTTTGTAAATTATGCACCTGTTCACAGCTCCCTGAGGATTAAGAGCCATGGCTAGTACTACAATAATTATTTGTTTAAAAACAAATTAAAACTGAATATGAAATCAAAAGCAAAACCCTCAACCAGTTCCTAGAGCCACCTTTAATGTTCTTCTTATCACATTCAGTACTATCCATAACATCCTTTCCTGCTGTTAGAGCCACCAAGTTCTAGGATACAGGCCCTCTTCAGTGAGAATGCCCTGCTGCACGTCCCTGGGTGTTCAAGTCCAGGAACTGTTAAGCCAGAGTGTCTTACAGCTGGTCTCAGTGCTATGGCACTAGTGGGGTGCGATTTGATCTCAGGTAACAGAAGTTAGATATGGTTTGCAGATATGATATAAACACAATTAAATGTAGCATAATACCCTACTTACTTGAATTCAAAACTCTCCCCTGCTTCCTCTGGAGTCAGCATGGGGAGAAAAAAAAGCCTTGTATTGAATCTGAGTATCTTCCCAGAGCAGGCAGTGGCTTAACTCCAGCTTTGGCCATGGGTTTAGGGCTGAAGTCAGAGCTGAGCTGCTGCCTACCTCAGGCTGCAATACCTTGTTTGCTGGAGAAAGGGGCACATAGCCCAGGGGAACCGCAGCCTGCCCCTCCCTTACCCTGTCCCCAGTGCCTGTACCTCATCTCCCCCATCCCCAGCCTATCCCTGTTCCCCAAGCCATCCCCTCTGCCCTGTACCTTCTGCTCCAGTCCCTGGGCCTCAACCGAACCAGGACAGAGACTGCTACCACTTCTCCCATCCTGGGCTAGGCTGGGGTCATGCTACTTCTGACTGCCCTGGAAGACCAGGCACACAGACAGGCTTGCTAACCTAGTGAGGAGAGCTAAGTTTGCTGGGGGATGGAAACCAAAGCCCTGAGGTAAGTGAGGAAGTGTGGGTGACCTGGAGGAAGGACAAGCAGGAGTGAGTAACAGGGGAGTCCTGCTCATTTTTCCTGAGAAATCAGGGCAATCAGCTAGTTACCTTAGGTGCCTGTACACGAATGCACCGAACCTGGGAAACAAGCAAAAAAATTGGAAGCCCTTGCACAGTCATGGAACTATGATGCGACTGGAATAACAGAGACTTGGTAGGATAGCTCGCATAACTGGAGCATTGTATGGATAGTTATAAACTGTTCAAGAAGGACAGGTAGGGGAGAAAAGAAGGAGAGTTGCACTTTATGTTAACGAGCTGTATGATTGCTCAAAGCTCCAGTATAAAAGTGGAGATAAGCCTGTTGAAAGTCTTTGGGTTAGGATCAGAGGAGAGAACAATGAGGGTGATGGGTCTGCTTATAGACCACCATACCAGGAGGATGAGACTTTCTTCAAACAGCTAGCAGATGTTTCCCTGATCACAAGCCCTGGTTCACATGAAGGACTTCAATCACCCTGACATCTGCTGGGAGGGCAATACTGCAGTACGCAAGCTATCCAGAAAGTTTTTGGAGAGTATTCCTGGCACAAGTGCTGGAGCAGCCAACTAGAGGCCATACTCTTCTCACTAGGAGGGTAGTAAAACACTGGAACAGGTTACCAGAGAGGTTAAGCCTCTATCCTTGGAGATTTTTAGGGCCCAGCTAGACAAAGTCTTGGCTGGGATGATCTAGTTGGGGATTGTCTTGCTTTGAGCAGGGGGTTGCACTAGATGACATCCTGAGGTACATTCCAACCCTAATTTTCTATGATTTTAACAGAGCTGCACCAGAAGGTAATGTGGAAGGGGGCAGACATATGGGAACAGGTGGCAGGGGTCAGGCACTGGCATGGTGGGAGCAGGCTGCAGGGGGTAGAGGCAGGGAGTGGATGGCAAACACAGGC